ATTGGTACAAAAATGTTATTTTATTAAGAATCATAATACAGCTCAGTATGCATATATTCGCGTGTAAAGATCGAAGATAAGTGGAATATAAAAATTGTGAATTGTTTTATAATAACAAAAGGATATAAAAGGAGCTATATTCTTTCTTGGCAACACGAATTCGGTGCCAGAACGGCAGGTTTTATGGCTTAGATTGGGGTTATGTTTGCCAGTTAAAATTCTAGGAAAGTTATTTTCTTGTTTTCGTTAGCATGCAACTTTTGATTGTAGTAGATGATGGCAGGGGAACGATAATGTTCTAGTACAAAATCGTTCCGTAATTCGTAATGGTTGTGGTGCATTATAATATGTCTATTTTCTTTGGAGGGTGTATTTCTTTTATGATTAGTTTGCCGGTATTTTAAGAATTTGCTTGTTTTATAGACAGTTTATAACTTATAAGTGCGTATCATTATTTTTCTTTATTGGTCAATTACAAGAGACAACTATTTGAAGTTCTGAGTGATAACAGCTAAATATTTAGCATTTAAAACGGCCTAATTAACTAATCATAATCAACTAATTGTCTTTTTTAGCTACCCATCTCAAGATTTCGCTGCTTTTGTAGCTATTAGCTGAGCAGGGGAATGTTATATACTGTAAGTCCACAATTAAAAAGATTAGCCATCGATGCCTTAATCGACCTATATACACACGGTTGAACCCACCTTTATATATTAACTCTATCATAGATAGAAGCTAAGAATTTTTAGAAGAATTTTCGAATATCTGCCTCTTCTTAAAGACCCACTACAGTTCCCCTATAACTATGGTGTATATTGCACCCACATTTCTATTGCGACGTGTACATTGGTTAAACTTATCGGTTAGTCAAAATCTGAGTATCAAAGATCCACTATATCTAGTATAATTTTACCATTTTTCGCCTATCCTAGACGACAAAGGATAATCTATATTAGTAAAATTTACGACTTGTATTCTAGGACCATTCATCACTCCCAACACTGCTCTCACCGTCAGAACTCACTAATAGAAGCGACGCGCTTTATCTCTTACCATTTGAAAAGACACAGCAATGGTTGACGACAGGCTATATAAAAGCGGTTGCAGAGTAGTTTCTTGGTACCATACACAAAGTGCAGAAGAAAGAATGATAGACCTGAATCCATGAGGAGACCGACCTAAATTCAGCGATCAGATCGAGTATCCAGGAGTGGTATTTAAGAAACACTAAACTGAGGACAAGATCTGAAGCAACCCGAAACTTCTTTTTCTTCTTCTTCCTTCTTGTATGTGTGCTTCAAAGCCTGTTTCTTCTTCAATATTAGCCTACTAAATTGTTTAAATTATCATACCATCTTCTTTTTGGTCTTTCAATACTTTTTGGTCCATTTGGTGACTTATCTTGTGCTATTTGTATTATCCTATCCTCTGCCATTCTAGCAATGTGTTCGCTTCACTCCTGTTTTTGTTTGGTCACCCATCTATTCATGTCTTCTATATTGCATGCTCTTATGTTTTCGCTTCTCTTGCTATCAAACAGACTTCTCCCTGATATTCGTCGGAGTATTTTCATCTATGTTATTTCTAGTAGTCATCTTGTTTTAGATGTGTCAGGTCTTGTCTCCGCCATGTATGTTAATATAGATCTAATTGCTGCTTTATAGATTCTTGTTTTTTTTTGCCTTGCCTTAGGTGTTTGTTCTTCCAGATTGTGTCATTAAGAGCTCCTGCCGCTTTACTTAATTTTAAGCTTTGTTGTCGTACTTCTTCTTCAACATCTACGTAACTAGTTATATCTATTCCCAGATATCTAAACCTTGATTCCTGTTTTATTATTTTCCCATCAATTTCGATTTTACATTGCAGTGGGTATTTAGATGTCATACATTTGGTTTTTTCTGCTGATATTATCATATTGTACTCTGCCTGGGGATTTCGAAGGCTTGGTGGATTAGGTAGCTCAAAGGCCGCATTTATGACCAACAGCTGGTCCCAAGCCCGGATAAAAGAGGTGAATTGATGGACCAGATTAGCATCCTACCCATTGTAAAAGCAAACAGAGCGTAAAAAACCGATATAAAGCCTCGGAACCAGACGGAACCTAAGAGGTAACCCGTAACAATATTAGAAAAAGAGTCAGCCTACTCAACGCCCTATGTAGAAAATTTGGACAGACGCAATCTAAAACACTTAAACGCATAAATAGCTCACTTAGAGCTTAGCACGCGGACAGGAAGGGAATGGTTTTCTGTGGTTTTCCAATTCCATGGCACAATTATAGCTGCCATAGGGAGTTAATAACCTGAGCTACCGTCAATATGTACTAGTCGATTTTGTCAATAACAAAACAAAACCAAAACCTTTCTCCAAGCTCTTTTCCTTCAAATATACCCTCCTGGGCATGACACCATCACAATCGCCACCACCAGTGATGATTTTTAACGTAACCAGTACTTCTGCACACAACCATCCTAAAAAGACACAAGAAGATGTCATCCACAAAAACACTTAATACAAAGGTACAAGTTGACAACAAGGCGTTTTGTGGCCTTTTTTTTTCAATTTCATGTTCGCAAATGAGCGTTGTCCCCAGTCAAATATCGAATCGGTGGTCCAGATACTCTTAACTGAGGAGACTCTGAACAAAAGCTGCTTGCAATCTTACAATTTGTAGCCTAAAAATAATACAAATACGCTGCCTTTCTCCACTGAAGCCCACGACGTCGACAATAGATTCATCTCACAAGTCACGGTATTCTTTCTAGATGTCGAATTTGTAATTATATTTGAAGTCAAACCTCAAACTCTACATGTACTACTCGCAAGACAAACGTAGGCTCAACGAGCAAAAACAACTTAAAAACCAGCTTAAAATCATTAACATTTGGCATTCAGAAAGCCCAAGGTCACGACATTAAAAAGTACGTATTTAACAGGTCTTCTATTAGAGCCTCCTATTTTAAAAATCGCCAACACAGAAGGTACTTTCTTAGGCACTAAGGGAACTTCAGGGTTGATCATATTGTATGTACCAAAAATATGACCGGTTCGACGATTCAATAACAATTCAATTGACAGCCTCATCCCACAAACCACCTAAATTTTCATCCAAATATTTAAATGTGATATCTAGAAACCTGATCCAATCGAAAAATGTTACTATTGTTTTAACAATTTTTTTATAACAGTAGATGTGCTCAAAGTGAACAATTGCTAGAGTGTGTTTTACTGAAGTGTGATCCCAGGTAAGATGATCTAACAATCAGATAAGATGCCATACTTACTTTACTTTCCATGTCCAAAACACCTTCTTTTTTAAGTTCCATCTTCTATCGAAGGTTGGAAATCATCATGGCTATGCGGACTCTGTTGACTGCTGCTCTAAAAAGTTCTACACTACTGCATTCTTAAGCCAGGATATTCTTCGTCTTCCCACATTTCGCTTTCCTCGGATTTTGCCCTGCATAATAAGTTGTAATAATGCATATTTTTGCCCTCTCATCACATGTCCCAAGTACTCAAGTTTTCGTCTTTTAATTGTTAATATTATTTCCGCTTCATTTCCTATCCTTCTAATTACTTCCATGTTTGACATTCTTTGAATCCATGATATTCGTAGGATTCTTCTGTAACACCAAAATTCAAAGGCGGCCAGCTTATTCAGATGAACTTGTTTGAGTGTCCAAGCTTCCAGACCATAAAGAAGAGTAGAGAACACGTAACATCGAAGCATTCTCAGATTCTAACCAACAGCTTTAAATTTTGTGTTTCCAATGGTTGGCCACATAGATGGCCCTGTGATTCGCTAAAAATAGGTCTTCTGCGCAGGTCTCTCTCATCTCTGTGGATGATAGTAGATTGTGACTATTCTGAACTGCGCCACAGTCGCAGATATCGTCCTCCTGGTATCTCCATTTCTTCAGGTTACTAGCACAACGTGAAACGCCAGTTCTGAGTCTATTTAGCGCTTTCCATGTGGCTATTTCCTCTGAGGTAGCAAAATGCGTTTTAACTGACGCTTGCCATAGGTGTATTGGGCGCGTCTTTGACTGTTCGGGAAGAGATCGTGATTTTTCATAAAGCTTTTTCGAGATCTTAATTTACTTGACTGAACTTGGTGTCCATATAAGGGGTGTCTCTGATCCGTCTCCTGCTTCTTTCGTTCTATCTCTGACGTGACCTGTCTTTTGATAGCAGGTGGAGCGATTCCAACTATAGGGTAGACCTTTTCGATAGGTGTCGGTTTCAGGCAACCAGATATTATACGAACCGTTTTATTTAACGCAACATCGACGTTTTTAGCGTGAGCAGTGTTTTGCACACTGGTGCTCCTAACTCGGCAACAGAAAAACATAATGCTAAGACAGAAGTACGAAGAGTGTGTGGTTGTGCTACCCATTTTGTGTTTGTTAGTTTGCGGATGATATTATTTCTGGCATTGGGTGCCAGATAACAACGATATGCCATCAGTTTTGAATTTAAGATTTAATGTACATAAAATTATTAGAAACTAATATTAAGATTTAAAAACGTTCGTTATTTTGTAGATTAGACATGTCACATTTTCCTCACAAAGTAAGTCAAATACTCAACGTAGCTAGATGGGAAATGTGGATCCTAAGAATGTATGTCATTACGTCATTTATCTTAAGAGGGCTTCAAGCGTGCTCTCAATGTGACGTTTTTTCTCTTAATTTCTGCATAAAATGTAAATATTGTATGAGTAGTTAAATGTAAAAAAAATTGCAATTTAATTTTTGAACATCCTATATATTATTTTAACTACTATAAAAAAAACTCAGTGCAAGATTTCCTTGGGTTTGTTTAAACCTTATTGGTGATTAACTCTAATAAGCCACCAACATGTAATGTTTCTTTTTCCATAATAAAGATCTCAACTGTATTATTAAATTCATATTTACGATTAAAAAAATGAAATTTGTAAAGAACGCAATTCGTCAATTAACAATATACCCTCTGTTTCAGATCCATATCAGATGTTTGGACCCACAAGTAGTCGTTTAGCGAGTTCAGGTGAGATGGATTCTTTATTGGTTGATTTTAAACGTTGAACGATTTAATAAAAGCAATTAGTATAAGTGAGAACTAGAAAATGTTCAGTTAATGCGATGTCAAAAGTTCAGTGCTCTATTTGGTTAACAATTTTGCAAACTAAACAGAGCTTAAGGTTCATGTAAACGATACTACAAAGATAATTTAAAGCCAAGTAAATGAAACTATCGATCTATTATCAGTACAACCGTTTTTGGCTTCAATAAACAAAATATTAGATAATGGCAAAACTATAAGCTGACAATTTGATACTATTATTTATAATTATATAAATAATTCAATCAAACAATTAAATAAATCTTACTTACATGCCGATACAAGGATTATTATTAAATGATTAAGAAAACAGAAAAGCAGATTTGTTACTAAAAGTATAACTAACAACAGCGTAGTAAATATCTAAAAATTTTTACATAATGCAAAAATTTCATAAAATTTTTGTGTAATAAAACTTACACAATAGTTTTAATTTGTACACCATAGTTTTTAATTTACCCAATTATGAATTGATGATTTTAATAAGGACTTCTTACTGATACGGGTGAAAAAATTGTTCGCATAACTTCTCACGAGTTTAATGTTAAACATGCGATATATAAAAAATGTGTGATATCAGTCAAGTTATTTCATGCCAGAATATCGCTTTACCCTTAATGTTGTTAAATATTGTTTTTTTCCACACAATAGAGTTAGCTAACCGTAAAAACCAAATCAAATCACACCCACCGCATAGGTCACAAACGAATCGCATGGTAAAACAATATCAAATCAAACAAATGAACGTCAGGTAATTATCTTCTTGAGGCCATCACGTGCTAGACCGTGTGCCAATATCTGAAGTTACGGTTCAAGTTAAGTTGGGGGTCGAAGAGTATGAGCCACTGAAAGCGTAGGGGTTATTATCTATCAGAGTCGTAGACAAGGGCGTAGCCAGAATCAAAACTAGAGGACAGTATATGATCGTTTAGGTTGTAATATTTTAGTTCGAAAAATGTGAATGAACACAAAATTTTAAGTGAGTTATATGATCATTATAGAAAGTACTTTATCAACTAAGTATTTGTACTCTATTTGCACATCTTATAGTATTTAAAATCATTTTTCTTTTATTTGAAGAAAACTTAAGCGATTCAAAGATTTCTAAGCAATTTTCTTTCTAGCAGCAACTAATAACATGATCAACATAACGACCAATGTCATTTGTATGAAAGCTATTATATTCTTCAATATAAGCTCAGTTTATATAATGACTCCTGACACGGAACTAACTAGACTAAAGAACCTTTTAGAAGATTGCCTTTTCTCTTATGAGCTGCCGCTTGTGTACTCTTCTAGAATCCACTAGACATATGTCTCTGTCTTGAATACCCAAACTGACTAATATAAATTCCTCTATCAGTCGCTAGATGGCTCTAGAATAAATGTGTACGATTGTATGGTAATTTAAATAATTTAGTTATTTTAATTATTAAATAGTTACTTCGAGACTTGTAATAGCTTGTAGGAACAACATTTAATAACAAAATTCTTCTAGGGGGCAGCTACCTGACGCTGATTATGCCCTTGGCGTTGATATAATGATTTATTTTAGAGATTTTCCGATTTTATTTTGATTACATTTTTATTAGAAGTTATTTTTTATTAATGGAATATGCATAAAAAGGTAAAACAAGTAGCTGGTCTTCAAAAATCCAGCACAGCTAGCAAATTCAAGATCAACAGGGTTTTTCAGGATCTCTGGGATCTCAGGATCAAAGATCAATAAATAGAAAGAGTAAAAGCATACACTTACCTTGGTACAAACGTCAATGAAAATTGGGACCATTTCCTATAAATCAAACGTAGGATAGAGAAAGCAAGATCTGCATTTCAAAAAATCGCTAAACTATTCAAATGCCATGGTTTATCAGTACCCATAAAAATGAGGTTACTACGATGTTATATCTTTCCAAGACTATTGTACGGAGTTGAGCCGTAGACTCTTATAGACGCAACCTGCTGGAAAATTAAGTCTTTCAAAATGTGCCTTTATCGTTGAATCCTAAAGATATCATAAACCGATCAGGTTACTAACCAGAACGTTTTATTAAGAATGCAAAAATGAAAAGATCTATGAATTACAATAAAAACTGTAAATATCGAATACTTCGGTCACATCATAAGGAACAGCGAAAGAAATGGTTTGCTGTAATTAATTCTACAAGGAAAAGTAGAAAGAAAGCGAGGACCAGGAAGTCGAAGGATTTCCTGGCTGAAAAATCTACGTACTTTTCAACACAACAACCACAAATCTTTTCAGATGAGTAGTTTGCAAAATACAGATTGCCATGATGGTCACCAATATCCGAAATGAATAGGTACTACAAGAAGAAGAAGAATGAAAAATTAGTTTATGAAATGATAGAATCAAAATGAGTTAATTTATTATTTGAAATATCTAAAAGGACAAGGAACGGCCAAACAAGAAAAGGACAAGAAACAACCGTTTATGGAACATAGTTAAATATTGAAAAGTGAAGCAGGAGAGAGTACGGGTAGGATTTGTGAACACATTAGTGACAGAACTGTAAAAGTATCAGTGAAAGACCACCAATTTCTAATCCGAATCCACGCATCAGATATCTCAAAGCTAGATTATTACAAAAATAGAAAAATTTTATTTAATATTACAAAATACGGACCAGAAAATAAAACGAACTCACTCGACAATAATATTTGGTGATTTAAATACGTGTATAGGGGAGGATATACTATCGGTTATAAAATATAGATATAATGAACATATGTATAATAAAATTGCTCATCGGCTTTGGTACAAGAAATGAGATGAGAGTTTTTCCGTACAAAAGAGCAACATAAATATACATTCAGTAACTCAAAAGGTAAATAATCAATTATCTACATTATCGGTAATCAATGACCACCAAAACACTATTCACAAGATGTTAATATATACGTCTTCAAAGTTAGTCGAGTTCAAAACTTAGCCAATCTGGCAGAGCCTGAATCTAGGCAAACTATTTATCAGTCATGTAGGTAACAATTCATTTGCGAACACGACCATGGGCGTATCAGCAACGGAGGTAAATATAATAAAAATAATTAATATTTTAATTATATAAAAAAATGTTACAGCATTAATCACATGAAAAAAATGGGAGTGGAAGAGAATTAGAAGGAAAATATCATCCGACGAAATATTTTAACAATTAATCAATATTAACGGATCAAAATATCTCTAAATAGAAGAAAGTAAACTTAACCGTAATATTAAATTAACAGAGCCGCCCTTTGTCCACTTTGTCGCGGATGAAGGGTTACTTTTATATTTTATATTTCCAGTATTTTTGGCATATCCTATTAATCATTTTAATTAGATTTAGTGTTTCATTTTTTTTAATACACGGTTTTGAGTCTCCCAGTTAAAATTTTAAAAATTTTCAAATCATAGGTAGACTAGTCTTTTGAAATGTAGACATGCTTTATGATCAGAGTAATTGCTAGTAAATCAAAACTATTCTAAATCTCTAATTTGTATTTAATTAAAACTTATAAATAAATCAATTTAATTTTAAATAATAGCTATTGATGTTTAAACTTTTAAACACTATTTAACATAAATATTTATACTCCTTTATACAATATTGACAAACGCCACCATTGAGGTTCACCCTCTGTGAAACAAAAGGCAAATGGATTCGGTAGCCTGTCATTAAACATGCATTAAGCCCGATGTTTAACTTCTTTTTTACCTGTGTAAATCTGGCGGTCACACCCGTATCTGACCCGTGCCCTCATTGTCATTTATACTAAGCTATAATTTAGTTTGCGCAGTTAATCATTCTTGAATTGGGGGTGATAAATTGATAAAACCCAAGAGACCAGATTTAAAACCGTTGTTTTTTTAAATACCAAACTCTATAATTTTTAAGTTATCGAATAAAATTTATTGCAATTTGTTACATTTTATTTGCATTTGACTATTCTATTTTTTCTGTTAATAAATCACAAGATTTTAATTAAAATTACATATTTTATTTAAGTTTTGATTTCCAGTGTGAAAATCATTCTAAAATATTCTTTTTTCTTATCATATTTAATACTTTGACTTTAATGTGTTTAATTTAATAAATACTTCTTCCTCTTCTTTTTATGTAGAGAGATATAAGAAAACAGATAAAAGAGGACATTAAAAAGCATTAAGAAGACTGTATAGAACAGGTCATAGAGATAAATCGAAGTCTCAAATGCACCAAACCGAAACTAGGAAAGAAAAACATAATAACCATTAAAAATAAACAAGGACAACTAGAAAAAAGAAAATCTGATATAGCAAACTCAATTGAAAAGTTCTACGCCGATCTGTATCGTTCCAGAAACGATTCCCCTAACTCCTCAAAGCAGAACTTGAAAAGGCAGATAACAAATGTCAACGCAGAAGTGATGCCCGAAATAAGCCACGAAGAAATAGAAAAGGCAGTAAAAGAAACAAAAAGGAATAAAGCTCCTGAAAGCGATGGAATCCTAGCAGAAATGCTGAAGGAACGCGGAGAAGAAGCCATCACATATCTAAAAATACTATTTAATAAATAGTCCAGGCTGTGAGGCCGCTCCCGTTGGGAAAATGTTTCTGATTCGGTTTCTTCGCGGATTTCCGTTCAAAAATGTCCCCTTTAAACAAATCTGAAGGGTGCCGGGCGAAATTTTTGGGCAGAAATTGTTTAAACAATTTTTTTAAACAAAGTCCAAAAATTTTTTTTTTAATCTGGAAAACGTTTTTTTTATATTTTTTGGGCCATTTTAAACAAAAAAAGTCTCTTGTCATTTTTCTCTAAAGTTAATAGTTTTCGAGTTATAAGCGATTTAAAGTCTGAAAAACGCAACAATACGCATTTTTGAGGCTTGAAAACACATATGTAAATTATTATTTTTGAGGTTACCAAGTGTCTAAATTTAAGTTT